TCACCATTTAATTCGTGTCGGCGGGCACGTTTCCCGTGCAGGGTACTCGTTTCGAGGACTTGCAATAAAACTAAATCGCGACAACGGTGCTACCGTGTCATCGGTGGCGTGCGTTAGACGTTTCCGCGAGTGAGCTCACTCGTCGAAACGCGCACCCGCTGGCTAATTATTTATTTATCGGCGCGAACGAGCAGTCATCTGCAAATCGGCTGGAAACTCTTGCTCACGACATTTCCACGCGAATAATATTGCATGCTTTCACACACAAACACGATATTTCACGCAAGAGTCCGTCGTCATCGAGAGCGGTTCAAAGCGTGTGTTTATCACGTGTCTTACAAGTAGCGCAACCAGTCAACGAGCCTTGTCGGTGGTAACCTCGTTTTCCTCATTAATTACATCCCAGCCAGATAATAACGACGTTCCTCCGACGAGACGAGGCGCGGCGGAGCGGGCGATTTATCGGAATTCCGCGAACACTCGTAGGTCGGCTGCGCGAGGGCTCGCGCGGATTATTATTCCGTGCGGCGAGCGGACCGCACGGTAACTAAAGGCCAAGGTTTAAGGCGAAGCCGGACTTGGCAAATTAATACTATCCGTCTGTGTGCCGTCGTGTTAAGCAGTCCCCGCAGCTTTGTATCCTTTGTCAATACGACTCCGGCGGCGGTGGCCGTCGCCGTCGCCGCAGGACTCAATAGCGTTCTCTCTGTTGACCGAAGTGTAAATCGATATCTCGGCCCGTTCTTCAGATAGCGCGCCGTTTCACGAGATTAGTCCGGCGCCGGGGTCGAATGTAAATCCCGAATATATTTGCGGCAAATGAGATTCTCTCTCTCTCTCTCTCTCTCTCTCTCTGGAGCGGGCGCCCGATCGCTCTTGCGTGCGCGGCTTGTTCAATCTATTTTTTCGTGCCACTTAAAGCCCCTACCATTTCGGAGGACATCGCCGCCGCTGCCAGGCCGCGGATCTCTCCTGCGGCTCCACCTCGAGAACGGCCACTTTCATCCGGCTGTAAATTATCACTTTTGCCCCCCTCCCCCTCCCCCGGCTCCCCGGTCTGCGGCGCTTATCTCGCGCGCCGGCCGAAAGTGTCGCTGAAAGATTCCTCTATTTTACGGACGAGCGAACCGCGAAAGTGATACGTCGAAGCGACGTGGCGGTTTACGTGGACACATGGCGAAGCGCGACGAACACCGCTTTTCTTCGGTTTGACAATCAGATCTCTGTCTGTGAAGACTAACTCCTTCAATTGCACTTCGTACCCATCAAAAACATGAAATTGAGGCATTATAAATTCAAAGCAAGCTTCCCCACTGATTTCTAACATAATGTCCATTTTTATGCAAACACAGAAATCGATGTTCTTCGCATACTTTGAATACTTTGTACAAGTGTTCTTAATTCTAGAAACGATAGGTCTGTTCTTTTTAGCTGAACTGTCTGAACTGGTGCAATAAGTTAAAGTGAGACAAGTATATTTTATTTTACTCTAACTTGCATCAGTCTGTACCAGTTCAGGCAGTTCAGCTAAAAAGAACGGGCTTTACATCTCACGTAAGGCACGCAGTGACTGCGGCGACGGCCTTGCTCCTTTTCACAGTTTAGACCACGTAGTTGCCGCAATCAGATACTGTCCACTTGACGTTGCAAATGCTTCAAAGTGCCGTGTAGACTAATCACAATCGTTTTTTACGCGCTCCAAAGTGTTTGTAATTTCAAACATTATATATAAAAGAGAAGGAGAGAGAGAATGAAGCTTAATCTACAATGTGTTCTTTGTTTCCTGTTTCTTTCTCTTTTCTGACTCAAACCTTAAAGTCTGATCTACAATATGCTCTTTGCTTCCTGCTTCTTTCTCTTTATCTCTTTCTGACTCAAACCTTAAACTTTAAGCCAGAAAAAGGCAGAAGACAAGAAACAGAATGCAAAGAGCATATTGTAGATCAGGCTTAAGTTTTAAGCCAGCAAAAGACAGAGAACAAGAAACGTGAAGCAAAAAGCACATGGTAGATTAAGTTTAAGTGTCGCGCGGAGACTAAGAGTGAGCCCAAACCTGATGTTGATGCCGCGGTTTTAAACGACTATAACTCGTGAACGAATCGATATACATTCTGTCAAGAAAGTACCGGGAATTGTTAAATAAAACACACATATTTCATTTATTCATCAAAATTTATTGGGTCGCCTTCAAAGTAGGCTCCATTTGAAGCAACGCACGTATGCCATCATTTTTTCCAATCTTCGAAACATTTCTTATAGGCGCTTTCCGGGATGGCCTTCAGTTCACGCGCCGATTTTTGTTTGATGGCTTCAATCGACTCAAAACGGGTACCCCGGAGCGGCAATTTCAGTTTTGGGAAGAGGAAGAAGTCACACGGTGCCAAATCTGGTGAATACGGTGGTTGTTCAAGTACATTTGTTGAGTTTTTAGCGAGAAAATCAGTCACAACCGTAGCTCGGTGAGACGGCGCATTCAGGTCTTTTGGAACGAGTCTTGCGGTGACGCGTCTCATGCCCAAATTATCGACCAAAATCGAACGAACCGACTCATGGGACATGTTAAGTTCGTGTGCTACCTCTCTTAAGCTGGAATGACAAGTTTTCGAGTACAATTTCTTTCACTTTTTCGATGTTATCTTCGGTCAAACTTGTCGACGGGTGTCCAGAACGAGGCAAGTCTTCGACGACTTCTCGACTCTCCTTGAAGACTTTATATCACTCATATGCACGGGTTTTTGATAGTGCTGAATCACCATAAGCCTTCTGCAACATCTTCAATGCATCAGCACACGAAATTTCGTTCGCAACACAAAATTTGAGACAAATTCTTTGTTCAATATTTTCACTTATTGTAAAAATCGGCACGCACTACTGACATCGACTGGCTTAACCAGCTGTTAACACACTGGTTGACAGATTCCACTCTAACTTGGCATCATAATTAAGGACAGTTGTACCAACCTGGGAAAAAAATTTTTATACCTTCGACTAGCGCGAGCAGTTTAAATCGACAATTCCCGATACTTTTTTGACAGAATGTAGAGACATGAAACAAAAACCAACTTCTTTAGTGCGCGTTTCCACATATGGCTGTGCCGCTCTTTCATTGCCCACTTGTAAAAATCGAGTGTCGTGATCGATTGAAGCACGGCAAGTACGTTCACGCGAGCAACACGCGACCTCTCTCATTCGCGATCGCATCGCTCCTATCTTCATTACGTCAATGACGAGATTAATATTATTACTGTATCAGTAATAATAAAAGGATCAAAGTAAAAGGATAAGTATCGTGGTTATTTGCAAAATAGCGGAGCACTGTCTTTTTCTTCAATTTCATCAGCTCTTTCGGTACCGTCATTATTCGCGGTCGAATGCGGCAGTTGTTTGCGCGAAATTAGATCACGTCGTATGAACTTTCCTAGTACAAAAGGGACTTGATTCTAAAAGGGGCCGACCTAGTAGACGTGAATGCATGCATGTATCCCGGAGAGTGTAATTCCCACGTCATCTGTATTCGGGCTGGCAAGCAGCTCGCGTCGGACGATAAATTCGAGGAAAGTAAACGGCTGATACGTTTCATTTTCTTTAAGCATCAATTAATAGCGCAGCTTTCGTTAACGACTGATTAATGACGTGACGAAGGGGAGTCTGAGTGATACCACCGTCTTATACCATCTTGTCTTGGGTAAAGTCACGTCTTAGTTTAAGAGCTAATTAACGTGATACTCTTTCCCGTGAGTAACAGATCCAAATCCCCTTTATCGCTTCCGACGTATCATTCGTTGGATCGCATAAATCCATCTTTGTTATCGTAGAGATTCGCGCGTCTCTCCTCGCGCATCTCGCAGCTGTTCCACTCGCGAAGAATCGTTCAAGCTGGAAGGCCGGCTTGCTCACAGTCAATCTGTAAACTTTTTCCTCCCTCCTTTTTTATCTTTAGGTACACTCATTCGAGCATTAAGCCTCCCTCCGAAATCCATCCTATTACGCGAAGGGATCATCTGTTTAAAAGCGTCAATATCCCGAGATAAAGAGTTCTCTCTCTCTCTCTCCCTCTCTCTCTCTCTCTCTCTATGCCGATGAAGGCCTCAAGGACGGAAAGACGAGTTAGGGGAAGAATCTGTTCTTTCACGACGGAATCTTATCGGCTTAATTAACCTTACGTAACGACAACGAAGCAACGCGACCGTTCGCGCTACAACCGAAAGGGCGGATTCTTATTCAATCTCTCGCGGCGAGTCGTCGTTGATGCCGACGTAACTCTGTAGAAACCAACCGAGCGACGAACGAACGAACGAAACGGGCCGGGCCAGGCATTATGACCGTCATATTTCGCGTGGTGGCCCATTGTGCGGCCGCGTACGACGCGCAACAGAATATACATATGAATGACCATGCAGATTCGCCGTTTGTTTTATTATCTTGGAACGCCCGTAAGTGTATTTGCATTATGCAACGACTAATAGGGGTAATGGGCGACGTGATTACCGCTAGCGCCGCGCATTACTCTCGGCCCATGCAGCGAGCGGACGAGCGAGCGCGCGCTCGCCTCTGTTACGAGTCGGAACGAATGTACCGCGTTAACATTATGTGCCCGGCGATATGTCAGTCGCAAGGAACCGCTACTTATTTTCTTTCGCTCGTCTTGCGAGTATTTATTCCCGTTGCGCGCGTTATCCCCGCGGTCGCCCGCGGATTTCGGGATTACGGGATCGGACACCTCGCGACTTCGCGGCGGACAGCAGCGCGGACGAGACGATTTTCCGCGAGTGAAGGGCCTTTGATTAAGGTTATCACACGCTATTTCGTTGGAAGTCGGAGCGAAACTCTTTGTCCATGATTCTTATCCACGATCAGAGGAACGAAGTCTCGGAATATTCCGTGTAAGACGCGTTAATTTTTCAACGATCTCATGTACCGCGCGGTCATATCCGCGGAAACGTCGTCGAGGGATGAGTTCGATTCTCGACTCGTTAATCGACAGAATAACATGCACTTACATGCTTTGCTGCGCAGGTCCCAGATTTTTAGGGTGCGATCATAACTCCCGGTAACTACTTTTGATGGCTCGCCAAGAAACTTCGCCGCCATCACCTTTGCGCAGTGGCCCGTGAGCGTGTGCTGAAACAGAAATACAAAGATTCGTTCACGTGAGCCGCTATCTAAAGCGCGCCGTGCGCACATACGGGTGCACGTGCAACACGACTCGCCGAGTGAAATCCGAAATTTTCAATTTCGGCGTTGGTGTAAGAATTCCACGTCTCGCGACATCGGCTTTATTTTACTCGCGTACACACACGTTACAAACACACACACACACACACACGCGCGCGTGCGCTAATGTCAATCGCACCACATGGTTGTGGCGGATGAGATAAATGTTAAGCCCAATTACACTCCGTCCATCTATCCGCGAGAAGCAAAGTTATAACACAAGACGCTCAAAACGCATTAATCCCGTCGCGAGTTTAGCCGGCTGTAAACTATTTTGTTTAAATACAATTTGGCAGCGCCGGGAGTCATCGGCGCTTTGCGACTCGGAGACTCGTGAACTTTAAACAGGGACTTGTTAGATCGAGCACCGGCTTTCATAAGTTGATTTTCTCTCCTCTGCCTTCGAGTTCAACTCTACTCCGAGCATCGACGTGTTCGAAATGAGAAATGAATGTAGCTGTGCAAGGGGCGGAAACAGAGCGACGGTATAAAGCGTGCGTTTCCAGCGGAACGGTACGTCATCCTTTAACGGTAACAAGAAAAGAGTTCGATTTCATTATTACCTTCATATTGAGCCGAACAAGAAAACTCGATCGGCACCGCAGTTGCTTTTATATTCCCCGATATCCGCTCGTGAGCATTTGGACGCGACGTGAATTTATCAAAAAATTACATCGCCGGGACTTACGCGCGCACGGTCATACGATCGTCGCATTTGTGTGAGCGTAATGCAAACATTACGCCTGAAAATATTGCCAGATGGCGGTGGGGGAGGATATTTGTTGTCGCTGACACGATGTCAGCGACAGTTATTCCGTCTCTGTCTCTCTCTCCACCTCTCTTTCTCTCTCTCTCTCTCTCTCTCTCTCTCTCTCTCTCTCTCT